AAAAAAAAAAAAATCGCAGGGCTAAAAATCCCAGAGGTTGATTTCTCCCTCATGGTACGTGTCCATCAATGCTTATCTTTTGTCTTCCCATTCCAGCACCCCAGCTGACTAAGCAGCTACAGGGTCAGTGTCCCAACCAGATGATCTGAAATCTTAAGTGCACCAAGATCTGAAACCTTTTGAGCATCCATATGATGCCTCAAGTGAGAAATTCCATTCCTGGCCTCACTGTCATAGTCAGAATGCAGGTACATTAGACAGGCTGTATAAAATCGCCCTCAGGCTTTGAGTAGAGGGTGTATGTGAAACATAAGTGAATTTTGCATTTAGACTTGGATCCCAACCCCAAATAAATACTCCAAAGTATGAAAAGAATCTGAAACCCAGAAAACTTCTGTCCCAGACATTTGCATAAGACATACTCAGGCTGTGCTGTCTATAATATTGCCAGTGACCATGCACAGGTATGGGTATTAGTTTCCCTGACTCAGAAGTCCTATTGTCCAGTACAAATTACTCTCATGGCAGCAGCCCATGAGTAAATATTTACAATTCACTCAGGTGATAGAATAGTATCTCAGTGTCTGTATAGCCACCATATAGATTTAATAAATATTACACTTTTTGCCATAATTGTTTGAGTATATATTTAGGGATAGCTAAATATGGGTTGAGCATGCCTATTCCAAAATTTAGAATGCTCTGAAATCTGTAACTTTTTGAATGGCTTGGTGGTCAGAAAGTTTTGAATTTCAGAGCATCTTAGATTTTTGGTTAGGCATGCTCAACCAGTAAAGTCTGCAAATTATTTCAAATTCTGAAAAAAAAAATTCCAAAATCTGAAACACTTCTGATCCAAGTATTTATATAGCGTTTGTGAAGCACACCCCAATTCCATTCCTTTTTCTTCTTTCTTCCCCAGAGGTAATTACTCTCCTGAAGTTGGTGTATATCCTTCTTGCTCATGGTGTCATATTTGTATGTCCATAAACATTATAAAGCATTGTTTAGTGTGCTTTTTAAATTGATTTTTAAAGGTTTTTTATTGTGTTAAAATACATACACATGTAACACATATGATTTCCAGATGAACCACAAGTGGCATGGCACAGCCTTGTGTACCCATCACCACTATCTATATCAAAACTTACTTTCATTATCCCCTACATACACTTTCTACCTGTTAGACAGTAAGTCCCCTTTTCCTTTCCCCCAGTCTTTTTGTAGCTTTTTCTCTGCTTTGTGCCCTTTTGAATTTTTCTATTCTAGGTACATCAGCTAAATGGGATCATTTTTCAAAACTTGTCCCCCTGTGCCTGACTTATTTCACCAAAGTAATTTTTAAGCTACAACATGTAGCATTTATCAGTTTCATGCTGCGTGTGTGTGTGTGTGTGTGTGTGTGTGTGTGTGTGTGTATACATGTACTGGGGCTTCAACCCAAGACCTCGCACATGGTAGGCAAATTTTCGACCTCTGAGCTGCACCCCACCCCCAGCCCTCATTCCTTCTTATAGCCAAATAGTATTTCATTGTATGAATATAATATATTTTGTTTATCTGTTCATGAGTTGCGGGACATTTAGCTTGTTCCTGTGCTTTGGGTATTGCATCACTGCTGTGAACATTGATTCATAGAATTCTGAGTTTTTGTTTTCAGCTCTTTTGGTTATTATACTTGAGAGTAAACGACTTTTTGAGGAACTGCCAAATTGTTTTCCACAGTGCTGTGCCATTTTGTTTAGTGCATTTTAAAACTTTGTATGTGGCACCCTTTCATACATATACTGATTTGCTTTGTAGATTCAGCAGTGTTAAAACTTTGGGGATTTAGTAATACTTCTGCTCATAAGTGAGACTGCTGTATACTTTTCTTGAGTTGCTTTGTTAGTGTTTGGCTATTAATGTAATGCTAGCTCCATTGAATGAGGCAGCTTACTTTCCATCTTCTGTTTTTCAAAACAGTTGGTATTTGAAATTTCTATAAAATTCTGAATGTGTTTTACAGCTTGCAAACAATACTTTGAAAAGTATCCAGGAGACCATGAACTCCTTTGGGAAGTTGAAGGTGTTGGACACTGGTACCAGAGAATACCAGTCACGAGAGCATTGCAGAGAGAAACACTTAAAATTACAGGTAAGAATGTTTCCAGTTTGAACACAGTCCAGTTTTAAAAGCAGCATTTGCTACATAATGGTGATGTCTAGAGCAGTGGTGTATTAAGTGATCTTTCTGGTATTGGACCCTCATATCTAAAGTTTGAATTTTTATTGTCTATTATGTATTAGATCTGGAGTCATTAACAATAAAGGGACCTAGCATAGCTCAGGGGAATGTAACAGCCCAGTAGGAATTGGTGAGGGCTGGGGATTTAGCTCAGTGGTGCTGCACCTGCCTCAAAAGTGCAAGGTGCTGAGTCTGATCCCAGGTACCGCAAAAAAAAAAAGGAATTGGGGAATAAGAAATAACTTGGATTGGTTGGGCATGATGGCACCCACCTGTAATCCCAGCACTTGGGAGGCTGAGGGAGGAGCATAGCTGCATGTTCGAGGCCAGCCTGGGCTACATTGTGAGTTCAAGGTCAGCCTAGAATATACAATAAATATGGATTATTGAAACAGCTTAGGATAGGCTTACAGAGAACAAAGGTGGCCTTTCATCTCAAGCACCTCTTCCCAATATCACTCAGTACTTAAGGTAACTGTTTAAGATTTGTGATAGTGAAAGGGTTCATTGTGAGATAATGTGAACGGAATATTTCACAGGTAGATTTTCAGTAATGAACCTTTCCTTTTAGGGTGTATGAAAATCAGTACATTGTTAAAATTAAAACTAGATGCCGCTTGGCTTACAATTAAAAGTACTTTTTCTACACACAGCAATTTCCCACAATGAAGCCAAAAAACCTGTGTCTGGAGAATATGGTCTTGCAACTGTTCCAGAATATGAAGCAGAAACTGAAGATAATCAGTCTAATGAGATGCAGCTAACTGTAGGTGCATTATATGATCACTGCAGGAAGTAATAATGTTGTGGTTTCTTTAAAATGGATCCCATTTATATTTAAGTTTTGAATGTTATAGTTCCTTCAACAATGGTAACTTCAGTTGCATTCGTTTTCTTGGCATCTTTTGTGGATTAATAAGGACTTGGTTTTCTTTGAAAGATATTTATAATGGGATTAATAGTATTACAAGCTAATTTTTTTAAAATTAATTTTATTGGTACAATTTAGGTATACAATATAATGACATTCATCATTGGAAATTTGCACCTTTACATAATCTCTCTTGGTTCTTATTTTTTCCGCCTTCCCCTGCCCTCCCTTCAACCCCTCCATCCCTCCCCATTTACAAAGACTTTGTTTCCATTTTTTCATTTTCTCATATTAATTCCATTCCCTTCTTTCCTTTCCCCTACCCTCCCACAATTACAAGCCAATTAAAGGTAATTTAGAATATAGAAAAAAATATAGAACATAAAAATTGGTAACCCTGTTAACTCAGAGCCACTATTAAACTTTTTATGTACTTAATGTTACATATTATAAAGCATGTGAGTGTTGTACACATTTAATTTTGTCTTTATTCTTTAATCCTGCTCTGCCTTTCTCTGTTAACAAAATAATGGAAACATTTTCCATAGCCCTATTCTTTTAAATCATGATTGTCAAATAGAAGCACCCTATATATAAGTATCATTATTTATTTAACGTAGGACTTTTACCGGCTTTTACATTTTTCTGTAGTCCAGGAACAGGCACATTTGTATATGAATCTTTGTACATATATAATTATTTCCTTGTGCGTATAAATGTCTAGAAGTCGAATTAGAAGTAGGTTAAAGATTATGAAGGTTTGGTGGAAGGTTTGATGCTGTATGCTCTAGGTCTCTATAGAATGAATAGACTTTGCCTATGTTAGATATCCTGCAAGGAGAAGGGGGGCCTCATACTGAACTCAGTGGACTTAACCAGATTCTTGTCTAAAATTATGTTTTGTGAAACTTGATGTTACTTAAAATATGGCCCCACTGCTTGAATTCCAGAAGTCTGTTTCTGTGCGGGGTTTGGTTGTGTTAGTTATTTATTACAGTTGTAGTTTTGTACGTGCATATCTGAGTATGTTTTTAATGAGTATTGAGTATGTCTGTAAATGCACATGCATTTCAGAGACCGGTGTGGGGAAGGAGTACTGTGGGGTGGAATTATTTGTGCTTGTTATTTGCATGAAAAATATTCATGGTTTTTGTTTTTTTTTTTTTTGATACCGGGGACCGAACCTGGGTCCTCAGCTTGCGAGGCAGGAGGTGGAGCCACTGAGCTAAATCCCCAGCCCACGTAGTCATGTTTTTAAGAATAACAAGTAATATAAGTATGTAAAGGATTAATTTTGAGGGTTTTTTTCTGTATTTGGAACTTCAGACTTCAGAATAAGCCCCTGTTCTTTTATATTACTGTCTAAATTCCTCAGGTATACAGATTTCGTTTAGCAGTTACCAAATATAATAAAATCAAGGAAAGTAGAAAATCTGCTCTTCCTTTATGTATAATGAAGGCCATGATTTATTTAATGTAAACCAGTAAATGTATGATGGATGAATGAATGGATGGTGGTTTATAATGAAGGTACTGTGGTAATGTGTAATTGAGCATACAAAGATATGGTTCTTATGCACATGGGAGAACTGAATGGTCCATTGTTGCATTGTTTGAAATCGATTATTGGAGGTATACAGCAGAGAAAGACTTTTAAAGGTTAGGTGGGGGTTCTGTGGCAAGGATTAATAGGCATTTTAGAGGAAAGCATGTAAAAAACAGGTATGAAGGGGTTGGGGATTTAGCTCAGTGGTTCCACCGCCTGCCTTGTAAGCACAAGGTCCCGAGTTTGATCCCTGGTACAAAAAAAAAAGGTGTGAAGGAAAATGGCATGTTCAGTATGAGCAATATCTGTTATTGAAGAGTTTGTGAGTTTGTATTCTATGCACTGATAAACCATTAAAGTTTTTTTTCTTTTTAAGTAAAGCGGTGGTACAGTTTGTGATTTGGAAGCATCATTCTGTCTTCAGGGAGGAAGTGTTTAGACAGGCTATAGTTTGAGGAGGGATACTAGCAAGGAGGCTTTTGAAATCATTCATGTTAAAGATAATGAAGTTCTGAACTAAAGCCCTGGTATTGCAAAGGACAGGACAGTTCTGAGTCATTCTTAACTTGAAATTGATAGGCTTTGTGAGCAGTTGATGAGGGATAGGAAAAAATTGTTACTACCACATAGGTTTCTCCTAGAGTGACTGACTGAATTGTTATTGCCATTAATCTAGAGAGGGACTAATACTGGGGAACAGGAAGATTCATTTTGGGATAGGTTGGGTG